GTGAAGCGAACACAAATACTAACGACGGATTGAGCGAGTGAAGGAAGTCCATCGCCTACTACACCAAAACCGCCAACACCATCTCGTGTGTCAGTCCTATCACGTAATAATTGAAATGGTATTTCTTTTACTTTTAATATTTTGCAGGCACTCCAATTTTAACAAATATCAGCCCGACAACAGCTACGAATTATGGACTAGCATTACAACCCATCGGGTCTTTAGCGCAAATTTATATTAAGGAATTGGTAAGAAAAGTTATAATTTGGGATTTAAAAATTCCCCCATTTAGGATGGCTAATTTTCCTGTATTCTACTATGTATGTGTAAGTTTTTTCACATAATAAATTAAAAGTTACCTACATTCAAGATAGTAAAGCTTTTAAAGGATTAACCATATAATGTAATTAAATTATAAACTTAAGAAATTCTATTTTCTTCAGTTCAATTATATATTTTTTACCGTATCCTTTCTATAAATTAATTATAAAATTGCAAGATAATGCTTTATATATTTAATAAAACAACTAGAACTGGTTACTTAAATAAAAATAGTTTTGAAAGCTTATTTTCTTGATAAATCATAGATACTACTTTTGTTTTGTTTCTAGTCCTTGCTTTGTTTCCTTGTGATATTCCATTTTCTATATTAACAAAATAGGAATATAAAATCCGGACTTTTTTGTTCATTATTAAAATAAATGAAAATAATTAAATCATTATCCGGATATTCTCATTCAAGAGTGGTCATCCTACTGTCACCACAAATTATTTTTACTATTATTTTATTTATTGTACAGGTAAATAGGTATATACCTATTTACCTTTTTTGGCTTTAGGCTATATCATTATATCTAATGATCTCAAAATTATTGTTGCAGGACACTTTTGATGAAGTAATAGTGACACGTATCAACACGGAAAAGTTAGAAATTCTATTAGCTCCACATAGCGAGTTCAACATAATAATAGTGCAACACGCCGTGAGACCTAAACTAAAGGAAAAGAAAAAATTGGTCAAACAAGTTATATTAAAATAAATAAAAATATATCATTTTTTTCATAGTTTATATTTTAGATCTATTGACGATACACTTAGATTGTAGTTACAATAAAATTGTGTTTTATCAAAGAAATAAAGTTAATGCTTATACTTAAGCGGCTTTAATGTTTTACCTCCTAGTTTTAAAAAAATCGAAACATGTATTTTATATTCAAGTTCTTAAGTATATATTCATCATCATCATCAGCCCTTTTACGTCCCCACTGCAGGGGCTCAGGCCTTACTTATGGATGGTTAAGGAGGATGGACTATGACCCTCCACGCTGGCCCAATGCGGATTGGAGGGTATTAACGACTGCAAATGCAGCCGGGACCAACGGCTTAACGTGCCTTCCGAAGCACGGAGTATCTCGAGATAATTATTTTTTGGTCACCCATCCCGTGACCGACCCTTGCGAAAGTTGCTTAACGACTACGATCACGGGCCGCGGCGCTAATCCACTACGCCACCGAGCTACTCTCATATAATATAAGTATATATTATATTTTGGTAATTGCTAAATTCAAGTTATAAAATCACGCTCATGTCAATATATTTTTGGTCACCCATCCTAAGACTGACCCTTGTAAAATTTGCTTCGGTAACCTCCGCTTCACTGACCGAACGCAAGCAACTGTGCCGTCGAGCAACTGTTAGAGCATAAATATATGTATACAGTCTATACTACATATTAACCATAAATATATTTTCGTTGGCCATTACTAATAAGTAATAATCAAGTATTTATTATTGGTGTTAATCTTATAAATCTGTTGTTGCTACTCGTTTACACTATCGTGCGAATGATGAGGTGGGTTGCAGATAACTCATTCAAGTTTTATCCGCTATGTTAAACTTTATTTCTTATTATATGGCTTAGCTAAGGTACTCTAACTAAAGATTGCTCTAATCTAAAGTAATAAGGTTATATCATCGACTTAGTTCTTAACCTACAACGTCGCTCACGATTCTAAGATGGTGGAGTTATAATATGTTGAGGAAGACCGTCTTAGTTTAAGATCTTTTTAATTAATTTAAATTTAAATATTGACAATCTGTTCTGCACATGCGCGTCTATTGTTATTATATATTGAAAGTAACTCTTCGTAAAGCTATTGTCGGTGCTGATTTTATTTTATAAAGTAGGTATATATATTTTTGGTGGTAAATAAACTCATGTGACCTAAAAGCTCCCTGGTCTTTCTCTATACCCGTTTTACCATTGGGTATCATAATAATCCTTTATTTTTTATGAATTAATACTTTACAACTATTTACTTTATTATAATTTCATTACTATATTAAACCTCATCAATAGAATTTCAAACACGAAATATTAGGGGTTAAAGTATGAAAATAACGATGAATTAAGAGAGATGGTGGAAGCCGATCCTAGTCAAACTACCCAAGAATTAGCAGCATGGTTTAACGTTACCTTACCCACAACAATATTGAGTCATTTGCGTCAAATCAATAAAATAAAAAAACACGAAAAATGGGTGCCTCATGATTTGACTGATCTGCAGAAAAAAACGCGTGTTGAAACTTATGTTGCCTTGTTGAATCGGTACAGAAGTGAAGGAATATTGGAGCGAATTGTGACATGTGATAAAAAGTGGACTCTGGTCAAACGCCACAACAGTGTCCTAAAGCAAAACTTACCAATATAAAAATAATAAAAAGGTAATGGTAACTGTTTGGTGATCTCAGCATGGTATTATTCACTATAGTTTTCTCCGGCCTGGTCAAGCAATAACGGCAGATTTCTATTGTGCCGAACTCCGAAAAATATTGGCAAAACTAGTAGTAAAACAGCCCCGACTCATGAATGAATCGATCTTCACCATTATTGCTTCATAACAACGTGAGACCTCATACAGCACGAGAAACCGTTTTGACCCTTCAGGAACTGCAATTAGGAACCATTTATCATCCTCCGTATTCGTCAGACCTTGCTCCGACGAACTACCATTTTTTCGTGATTTGAATAATTATCTACGTGACAAGAAGTTTTCTTCTCAGAAGGCAGTACAAAATGCTTTCACACAATTTGTGCAGTCTAAATCCTCAGAGTTCTATTGCAAAGGCATATATGACCTTCTTATTAGATGACAACAATGTATAGATTATAATGGTAAATATTTTGATTAAATAAATTTGTTAAAAATAAACAATTTTGAATTTCAAGACTATCCTTTATTCTCTACTATCGGATGTTGATACCCTCAGTGAGGAAGTATTTAAAAATATAAATTAGTTCTTAAAAACAAACCAGATGTCACTAGCAATTTTCGAATAGTTGTCTATGATATTCATTAAAATTTTCTTTTTCACATAATAAAATTAAATGAGGAAGTATTTTAAAAAAACCAAAGCACTAAAAAAACACCTCCACTAGATGGCGACTCTAGTAAAAGTTGATTTTTGCAGGAAACGAATGGACCAAAGATAGTTCCTTTCCGTTCCTTTTAACTAACATATAAATAAACTGAAATTTGAAAGTTCGAAACTTAGATATCAATACAAATACGAAAAAGTACAAATAGAATATGAGTTGTTTATTGAGATTTGGAAAGGTTGTCATGGAGAAATTGAGAACGTACCGTAGCGACATCTTGTTTTATTTCGGGAACTAATGTTTTTTTTTAAATACTTCCTCTTTAAATGAGGAAACCTTGTTGTTCGTTTCGAACGGACGTTTCTTCTTGATTGTTGATTTTTTATTAACATAATTTAATTATGAAGATAAGATTTAATAACGGATCTTAATTAAAAAATAATCTTAATGTCGCAAAGACAACTTATTTGCACGTTGTACTTTGTACCAACGTCATTCCAGCAAGAAGTTATGCAATTTTGTACGAGTATAAAGTATAAATTGATATCGGGTAGTAAATAGATAATAAACGGATTTTTCATTAACGTTTTTTATGACCTTTGTTGCTAATTAATAAACCCAATTTATTCATTCACCACACATAATACAAAAACATTATTCAGATTTCATGTAGTTTTGTTGCTGTTTGTTCAACTAATAACAACAAAACTAACTTACCTAGTAGTTAATTTTTTCAAACCTGCTATGGCATAAGTTTTTTGTTTATAAAAACTATTTCACGATAATATTATTGTATACAATATTAATGTGTATACCAAACATAGTGATGTACACAAACTTAACACTAGAAATAAAAACAAGCTAGTTATGCCTTCTTACAGGCTACAGAAGGTATTAGGTTCTTTCATGGGTCAAGGTATACAATACTTTAACAAGATCCCCAGTGATGTATTAGATTTGTCAATAAATCATTTGTCATATTAAAAATTGTTTATAAAGTAAAGGATATTATACCGTTAAGGAATATCTAAATGACAAAAAGGCATGGTGTTAGATATTTTTACTTTATTGTATTTACTTTCTAATATAATAATGGAACGTGACTTCATATTCTAATGAAGTCACTTTTCAATAAGACTTCTCTGTGTGAAATAAAACAGGGAGAAAAAAACAGCCCTTGCTTTTTTGCCGGTTCTTCTCAATACAAGGTCCCACGCCGTAGTTTTGCAAACTGATGGCGTAGTTTTCGATTTTCACAAGTGCTCTGTAAAAGCCTAAACTGAATAAATAAATTTTGATTTTGATACCGTTTTTTAATTTCACAGCAATAATAATTCTATTGATTTCCATAACTTTCTAACAACCTTCCATTAAGTTAGTATCCATTTTCTTTTTAATAATTATTATTATAATTAATGTCCGACTTAATACTTAATGTAATCAATGTGAAAATATCACTGAATGCAAAAAAGTTTGGACAGCTGATATGCATTTACTCTTAGGATTTCATTCGATATTAGTTTTGATATGTTAATTTTTCGTTATCGATATTTTTACGATATCGGTATTTAGAGGTGTCGATATGTCTGTTTTCTTTCGTTTGTCGTTTTCTGATATATTGTTGCATCCCTACGCAATACTACTTCCGTCCGTCGCCGCCATAATAATTTCGGCGTCTCATCTCGTTCCTCTTTGGGAAGCGTCTGTTGCTTGTAATGTTTTTTATGTGAGTTACTTAGTTAACTATCGGACTTATTTTATAAACCTTTAGTTTTGTACAAAACGAATATGGCAGAAAGCAATTATGACAACGGATACAACAGTGGTGACTTTAAACGCAATATGAAGTCTGATGCCGACCAAGGTGAAAACGAGATAGACCAAGATGGCGAAGAAGGTTCTAAATTGAACGAAAAAGCCGGCGAATACATGAGGGAATTATTGAGCGAAAAGATCAAGTTAAACGGCCAAAAGTTTCCGGTGTCACTAAAACTTATCGACCAAGGTAAAATACCACGACCTTATTACACTTAACTAAATATCAATAAATGTATTAGGTCAGAATGATTTGATACATTTTTGTCTTCACCCGTATAATACTTATAAACCCTCTGTAATCACTATTCTATTAATGAACACTGCAGTAAAATCTGTAGTGTAGTAGGTCTCGGCATACAGACAACTGGAAGCAACTTTGTTTTATAGATTTACTGGTTAAATTAACTGTTTCTTCTTATAGACTTGTTTTTATGAATTATAAAAAAAAATATTCTCATTACCTACCCTCTTTGTTCAAACCTAACCTATGTACTTTAAATATGCTTATCATTTTTTCAGAGGTACAAAAAGTGCAGGCTTCAGGAAGGATCCCCGCTAGAGATACTAAATATCTAGATGTATTCCGTGAGAAGCCAGTAAAAGTTACAGTCAAAGTGCTAGTACCTGTAAAAGAACACCCTAAGGTTAGTTTAATAATAATCATTGTGAATTTATTAAACATTTAAAAATCCAACTACAGTAGAACCTCGATAAGTTAAAGTCCAAGGGAAACACAAAATATTTTAAGTTATAGAGGTTTCAAGTTATCAAGGGTCTATGTTAGGGATAGGTTAATATAGAGGTAGGTTTGTACATATGTATGTATGTACCCTTGTTCCTATTTTTATTCGAATGCATTAGAAGGACTGGTTCAAAAAAATACAGAAATTTAAATTTAATTTATCAAAAACTAAAACAAAAATTAAAGGTTTAGTCTACTTAAAAAAGTCTGTTTTTTTTTTTTTTGTTTTAAACAATTCATAGTTTCTAAATCAATTTAAAGAATTTCGAAGAAGCAAACAATAGGTATTTTTTGTAAGTTATTTTTTATGTTAACAATTTAACAAGTGCAAGCAATAAATACTGAAAACTTAATACAAGTTTCAGCACACTCAAAATTACTCATTGACAAACAATTTTATGTTATAGAGGTTGTGGAAGCATTTCTTTAACTTACTGAGGGCCAATACAGAGATTACTTGTTTAAGTTACAGAGGTTGCGTATTTTAAGTTATTGAGGTTTTGGGCTCTGATGGGAAGGGAACATATTATGTTTTTAAGATACAGAGATGAAAAAAAAAAAAAAATGCACTCACTTTTTGCTTGCCTTTTTCCTGATTCTTACTAAATGTGATTACAATGTTTACTCTTCTATCACTCTCCTCTATTAGCATCATCTCAACATTCATATGTTTATTTCAGTTCAATTTTGTGGGTAAACTACTTGGACCGAAAGGAAACACAATGAAGCAAATGCAAGAGGATACCATGTGCAAAATGGCAGTATTAGGACGTGGATCCATGAGAGATAGGTAAACTGTTACCATTTGCTCTTAAAATTCATTCACATATAGATGTTTCAGTTGCACTACTCTAGTGCTTCTAAAGCTTGTCTTTATCTTGTCGATTGACCGAACATTTACTCGGTGGAACAGAACGAACGACACTCCCGAGAATCCTGGAGAGTATTGTTTGTCTTTAGTATGATGTAAAAAAATTATGTGTCTAGGTCAAATAGTTTCGGAGATATTCAATTAAAAAGTTTTTGGAAAAAAAATGAGTGTTTTCAACTCTGAGTCAGCTGTTTTTGGGACGTACTAAGGACCAAGTTTTTAATCCGTCATTGATTTCTTCATTTCTAAAAACGAAATAAACTAGTTTATGATTTATAAGACAGCTTTCATGCAAATTCTACCAGACAATCACTAAACAAGGCAGTCAAAATGCTTAAATCGATTAACAGGCTAACAGCCGGTTTCTGATTTGAAAAAAGTAGAAAATCTCTACTGATTATTCTCGTTTTTTAACCTACGTTTTTTTTAATTTCACAAGTCCTAGTTTTATCAAACTGCTATCAACTGATCATCAAAAACCTAAAATTACAAACGAAAACTTTACTTAGTTTCGTTTGCGATTTTAGTTTTTGTTAGTTAAGTGTTTTTTAACAATTTCAAACTAACTATCACTAAACGAATCAGTCAAAATGCTGAAATTAATTAATAGACTAACATTTAATGAAGATTATTCAAACGTTAACCAATTTACATAACGTTACTACATTATTTCAAATAGAGTTTCCAAAAAAATTTAATGTTTTGCGCGTGCATGCACTGGCATGCAAAAGAGCGTGCTTAGCTGTCTTCAGAGAAGAATTGGATATTTTCTGCATCATCTAACATTAAGATATCGGTAAATAATTAAAATAAATTGATGTATTTCGCGGTCCGTTGTTATCTGCGCACAATCGATATTGCGCATGCGCGTTATAGGGCTCTCAACACTTAGGAATTTAAAATTTTTACTCCATTTTTACACCTCCTCTATTTTGAAATATTTGTCAAATAAAATGAATGTTTGCATATAACCTAACTTGAAACTTTCGGCTGTGTCGGTCATTTTGTTGTATTACCATTTAATGTTTCTATGGTACACTTGTGTCTATGACAGATATTTACATATTTTTTTTTTGTGGCAAAAATCAATTTATGGACGAAGATTTATACAAGAGCTGCTAGTGGCTTCATTTAATATTTGATCTTTTAAGTCAAAACTAAAATAAAGATTGAGTTTGAATTATTTATTATATGTTTATTTATTATAAAATAAAATACTAAATAGTAGTATGCCTTTGTGTGTATCCAGTAAAGTATCTAGTAATTTAGTTGAGACTCAATACTTGATACATATCAACATATATATCGATTGATTGATATCTGTTGATGTTTATCAGTGAACCCAGCTATATACTTTACAATCATCTGTTGTGTGATAATCAGAGGTCGGAATTAGGTAGAGTTATTTATGTACTTGCATTGAAATGTTGATATTAATGTGGACCTTCCCGGGATTTCTAATGGACAATCTTGGACATCTTTGGACATCCGATGTCATTGATGTAAGTTTGGCAACGTCGTGCGTGCAGTAGTTTAAATTGTGTAAAAGTAAATAACTTTTTATTTAAAAAATCACGGGATTTTCTGCTCTTTAAAATTAATCTCGGGATTTGAGGCATATCCACTTTATTCTTTCGCTGTATGAAATCAGTGTAAGTACATGAATAACTCTACCTAATTCCGACCACTGGTGATAATGTTAATATAAATGGTCAAAGAATTGAAATAGCATCAGCATGGTAGAGAGAAATGATACTTACTTCTAGATTGTAGATCTTTATTTAACTAAACAATCTTTGTCTTATATACTACTTAAATCTAAGAGGGGGATAGTATGGTATGTGATGAGTAAATGCTTAGGAAGACATTTATCCAAATCACGTTTATAACAGGGTTCTTAATATTTGTATACAATAGAATTTATGACTTAATAATAATCGAAATTACCATTATTTATTAGGCAAAAAGAAGAAGAATTACGGAACTCATTGGATCCTAAATATGCACATCTCTCAGATGAATTGCATGTAGAAATATCGGCACTAGCTCCTCCAGCGGAAGCGCATGCGAGGATTGCATATGCTCTTGCTGAAGTAAAAAAATATTTGATACCAGACAACAATGACATGATGAGACAGAATCAGATGAGGGACATCATGGATAGAGGTAGGTTTTATTTTATATTTTCCCTGTGATTTGGCAGAATCTATTTTTCTGCCAGTTTACAGACTATAATTTAATGAAACTATTTGACTTCTGGCAGCAGCTTGGTTGGCATAGTAATCCAACATAGCTCACATTAATACAAAATATGAATTTTCTAAAGGGTCATCTTTCTGAGCTATAAATATATTTACAATAAATATATTTAATTTATATATGTTGTTTAAATACTTTTATTTATAGAAAATATGGCTATATCAATCTATAATATCCTTTTTTAATACTAACCCAAAATCCTATCATTGCACTTAATGCCAATGGGGTGAAAATGAAATGGTGCCATTAAGATACAGGCAGAGTATTATGTGTATTACATTACTCTGCATTTAGCATCTTGGATACTTTGTAAATTTTAAGATACTTTTACTTGTCTGAATAACAGTTGAAATGCTGAGTATTGTCTAATATTGAGTTAATACTAATTTAACTTATACATGCTTATGCTTGTACAGTGCTTTTTCAATAGCTGTTTGAACTATAGTTATTACTAGGGCAGGTGAAAAAACGGAAATTGACCCAGTTAATAGAAAACTGCTGTTACATTCTGTTTGTGGAAACAATTCAGATGTCTATGTTAAGTGAAATGTATTGTTTTCTTTCAACTCTTACATAATACCTGTGTCATTTTATGTTTTTGCACTTGCCCCAGAATAGACTGGTTTTCATGTCTCAATCTTGCATACTTGAACTGAGTAACTAAGCTAAATAATTCTCTAGTATCATTCACTGCGTAAAAGTATCTATCTCATTTCAACTGTTGCATTAAGAGCTTATGATAAATACTTCTGTACTCTAACTGTGTGGCTTCTCCGCCAGATTGGAGACGGCCGATGGCACCGCCTCAACCCGAGAGCTTGTACAGTGCTTGTACGGTCACCAAACGATCCCTGTCCTACCAAGACCCTGTTGCTGCCAAAGGTCTTTAACAATACATTGCTTATTTCTTTCTTTCTTTCTGCTTTTAGACTATGTATTGTTGGGGTCAAACTGATGACAAATGGCCACTACATAATTAATGGCATTTCTCATTAGTGTGATCTTTAATTTGGGTATGAAATAATTTATCAACATAATATTACTTGACACAACAACATTAATTGTACATATCATACTCATTGCATAAGTGTGCTGCTGATTTTATGTTTTTTTTTTTTTGTTTTTACATATATGCACATATATACTAGCCCACCATTCCCGCTTTACCGCACTGCACGTCTAGCAGATCCTCTGTCTTATTGTAAATCAAGAACTTAAGTTAATACTTTGTTTAAACCATTGGCCAATGACAGTGCAGAAAACGTCAAATTGAGATTTATCAACTTATTTTGGTCTGGTAATGGTTTCCTCGTTTTATAGCAAGACTATCCAAGTATCGCTAGCGACGCCATCAAGTGCCTCTGTGTCGATCGCTATTATCATCTTCTTTATGGTGTTGTTTTGATAAGTTTGTTAAATTTTTACATAAAGAATATCAATTCCCAACTTCAATACTCAATAAGTTTATTAACTTCTATTTAACTGATAGAAAGTTAAGCCAAGTTAAAATATAATTATTATTTCTTTGTCAATAGTACCATTTAATTTACGTATGACGTCATTTAGTAATGGTTTTCGACGGCCAACTCTAAAAAAAACAATAATAGATTTGTTGTTTATTATAAACATCGGATTTTTTGGTCACTGATTCTAATATTCTGTATGACCGTAATAAAACAGTGAAGCAACACTAAAGCCGGACTTACATCACGAATCTTGTATGGAACCACTTTCATGGCATTAATTTCGCTAGCAGTTTCGGAATGCATGCATTAGTTTTATGATTAAAATAGTTTTATGCGATACGCATATTTTTAATGAAAGTTAACTTTCACACAAGTTATTTCGCTTCGATTTACATGGCAATACTACTGTCGCGACACCATCAGCGCATAGTAAAGCATCAATTTTGACAAAGATATCGTTGATTGACTCTTTCGCGACACTACTTTCGTAATGTAAATCTGGCTTAATTTTTTTTATTTTCGCTTGTTATCCTTTTGTAAAACCAATCAACCGTTATGTATATAGGGTTCGTTCCGCCATCGGGGCCCCCTCGTCCGCCCCCGGGGCGCGCGCCCCCGCGCATGCCGCCCCCGCAGCCGCCCATGTCCCGCGCCATGCCCGCCAAGAACAAGGTCATCAGCATACTGGACCGCGCCCGCTCAGCTATGGAGTCCTCGTATGGATACGAGGAACCTTACCCACCAATGCCTGAACCACCGGTAAGATATTTTCCACATTTCATTTCAAGGTATTACGTGAAAACTTGTATTTATTGTATACCAAAATGTTTCATTTTGCTTTGATAATATTCATAAATTCATTTATTATGACAAAACTAATAATATTAATAACTGTGATGTGGCAAAGTTCACTTCCTATTAACTCTTAAAATGGCCAGAACTGACCCTCCTGTTTATCTACCCTACGTTTTACTAACTCTATTGTTGCTCCTGCTACTGATAGATTTCTAGCACTAATAATACAGTGTAATTCAATGATATACTCACATTTACTCATTCAAATTACTACTCATTCAAATACACACACACACACATGCATACATACACACACACACACTATTAATAATAAAAAAAAATTGTCCTTTATTTTTTAGTCTGCATAAGCTAAAATGTAATACTTAGAGAGCACTGAGTTGAGAGATAAGGCAAATTGATTTGTTACGCTAGTAGTAACTCAGTAAAGAATTATTATTATTAATAATAAACTGATGCCGATAATATAACGGCAGGTGCGCGGCGGCGGTCCCCGTTCCGCCTCCCAGGACTTCTACTACGACCGCGGCGACCGCTACTACGAGGACGAGCCGTACTATAAAGAGCCGGAGCCGCGCGAGTTTAAGGCATCCGCTCGCGATGTAGGCACTCGCCGCCCGCAGCAGCAGCAGCGGCAGCACTACGGGCACGCGCGGCACTCGCCCTACGCGCGCCCGCCCAAGTAGTCACAAGTGGATGCTGTACGTCTTATATGCAGCGCTTAATCACTTGACACTAACACCATATACAGGGTTATTGTAATATCACATAATTTGGGTTTTATTTGTAGAAAATGATGATATCAGTACTATAATTCTTGACAAGTTTCTATGTGCCTGATACTGCCTAAAGGCATTAATTTTAAATGAAATTATAAAACATCAACAAACTCATAGCGCTTATAAGATTATAACGTAATGACAACGTTTGACATAGGATAGAGGTGAGAAGGTCTATTATGTTTTTTTTTAGACGGCTATAGGTAGTTTTGATACTTTTTACATAATATTACGAATCCTACAAGATTCAGACTATGAGTTCCAAGAGTTTCTAAAGGAAGATATGACAAAATAAATGTTAATCCATGAGATTATCACGTAATATTACACTGAGACAGAGGGGTATACCATTTAAACGTCTTACATTTTATTTGTAAACAAAAAGATGACAATCTTGCTTACAAGCACTTACATATTTTTATTAAAGTTCAAGATTAATTTATTTTGAAAGTAAATTTTGGCGAATTATCAAAACTGACAGTACAAACTTTCTCGTCAATGGTGTTAGCTGTTTATTCTTGCAAAATTGCTATTGTTTTACTAATAACCCTGTATAGGTCATACTGTCGACCAATTGTAACGAACCCCGGTTATGAATGTATAACCAGGATGAGACACCAATCTGAAGTGACACATTTTATCAAGCATTATTATTATAACGGTAATATTCCGTACTAAATTACAGTGAGAGTTGATATTTATTTTACGTTATATTAAGTGATACCCTCCCTAATCTACCCTGAAAAATCTTCGTTCCAGTAGTAGACTGGTACTCCAAACCCCCTGTCACCATTCTTGTTTTGCATCTCATGTCTTCACTCTAACTGCCATCCGTCTTTGGAATGCACTGCCTTTGAACGTCTAAAGTGCTCCTTACAAATTTGCATTCAAGACAGCAGCTCGCAACTTCTGTATTACTTCGAACAAGATTTCTTGATCTGACACCAGATTATGTTTCATACTTTGGGTTATAGTTATGTATATTTCTATCATTACAATAATCAGTATAACAATAATTCTATCCAATGAAACATTGTAATACAAAAATTTGCTTTTCGTTAGTTGTTAAAGTGCGAAACGTTGGTTGGCAAGTGATAATCGGTCAACCAATTTTCAGCGAAAAGGCAACAAATATTATTTTATAAATGATTAAAAAACGTAAATTACTTTTTAATTTTAACTGCATTACAGAAACACCTCTATGCTGACTTAAAGTCACTTATGGTGTTAAGAAATTTAAATAAAATAAATTGAAAAGTGTGCAGGAGAAAAATAACTCATCTTGTTAGTGCTCTACTTTTTATTGGTCACTCGTCAATTTAAATGTGTTAAAAGATTATAAAAATATGTCAAGTGAACAAGCGCGCTTTTCATTGTTTTGGTTTCGCTTTTTTTTCCATTTTAATTTAGAATATTTAGAAATCAAAAAGAGTTCTTTTAATTTCTGAGATATTAAAATAATTTGCTAGTTCACTTTTATTTTATAAAGCTTTTGTTAGTTTAACCCTAATATTTTTATGTCTAAGGTTTTGAGTCTTATATAAAATTTCTCTTTTGGGCGCACAGTTCGCCCTTTAAAAGAAGTGCCTCGAATAATGAAATTTAGAATTCTTAATACAATAGCAATAAAGATAAATCAAAAGTTTTCTTTCTTGGCGCGATTTTTAGAATGAAGAATCTAATGCAGATGTGGTTATGTATAGTTTGATCAATACCAAGTAAAATTTATCTTAATGTTCGAAGGCATATGAACGTGCCATATGATTAGAGTGATCGAAAATATTTGAACAGCCAACATTATAATAATGTGATGTATTAACATTATATCATATCCTTAACTTTATACATCGAACTATTCCGACACTTACACAGATTTCATTCCGCCGAATACCTAAATATTTAATTTGCTAATTGTATATAAATAAATTAAATAACTGTCAAGCGTTACTACGCACTTGAAATGGAGGTCTTCATATATTTTTAAAACTGAATACCTAGTATTGTCCCAGATGCGTAAAGAATCTACACAAAAATTACTGTAATGCTTCTAATTCCAAACAGGATAGGATTTCCGAACTTTTCGTTAGTCAACTATACACAATAGCAACAAAAATATTTATTATCATTCATATCTTTGAGCGAACAAATATCTTTGATCACTACAAGTGTTCCTTGGTTTAATTTTAAAAAAAGAGTAAGTAATGTGTGCAATTTAAATAAATGTATTTATATTTTACAGGGCCTCGTCAAAAAAACGCTCCCACTAGGTGAGTAACATTTTTCCACAGCTCACCGTTCCAGAAAAACCACAACTCAATTGACAAGTAATAAACAGTACGAGAGGAATTAAAAAATATATATAAAACCCGATGGCAACAAATAATTAGTATTAGATCAAGTACACGCCACAATAATCATTAATAATATTGTAGTAACTATATTTTAAAAAATAAATTTTGTTTGCTATTCATTTGCTTTATGGACCAAAATTAAAATGACTTTGCAATAAGTAATATTTCTTTACCAAACCAATATTTTAAAGACTATATTTATGTTAATAAAAGTATTAAAAACAATACTTTGGTTATTGAAATAAAGAAAATCATAATTTTTTAAACATTGTTAGATTTCACAATTATATATGTCATTGCAATTAAAATTTTAATCATATTCGGAAGTTCATAATTACTGCATGCCAATTTTAAAAAATCAAATACCGAAGTGTACCAATAGAAAAACAATTGAATATTGTAGTTCAGAACGAACAAACAATTAAATAAAACCTAAAACCTCTTGTAATAGTTAAGAATCTTTTTAAAATAGTTGTTAGATTCGTAAAAATCTTAATTTCAACATGTTTTGATTTAAATATCAAATAAAAAACTTCAACTTTTTAACTAAAGTGACTAGGGGCCTAAAAATGTCTTCTAAAAAATTTTAACAATAAAATATTTTTAAAGATTGCTCCCTTGTCTCGTCAAATAAAATGTTGAAACATGTTGAATATAATTATAACTATTAAATGTATTTCAATCTTTGTGTGACTATAATAAATAGTATTGGAAGATAAAAAGTGATTTTTAATTTCAAAATGGCTATTGGTTGTATTGAGATAAAAGTTTAATAGAAAGATGTTTTTATCATGAAATCTCCAAAATTTCTAAAAACATGTGTCAAATTATATAATTTCGCTTGCATTATATTAGGCAATCAACAGTTACTTTATAAAATTAATAAAAATAAGATGTATGTAATTCATGAATCTAGTCAAATAATTGGAGAACAGAAGAAATATTTCAAAATGTATAATAAAAATTGATGAAATATTTACTAATATGCTCATAACCCCAAAAGAAACCAAAAAAGTTACAACTGTACAAGAAAACGTTTAATAAATAATTTTGATAGCAAGACAAACAACAGCTTTAAGAAATAAATGCTATTTCAAAAGCAAAAGAAAACGCGTCTTCAATCAAAGGTAAGTTTAAAGGTCAACATACTTATATCCAAAGAGTTAAAGTATATAGTATATTTTATACTGTGTGAGAACGTTAACGTTAACAAATAGGTTTAACGAGCCGCCGTCTCAGGGAGCGGTGCCCGTGTGCACACCCTGTACTATAGGTTAAGCCGCCCCTGGCTCCGCTAATATCTTCACGCCGTATCACTTGCGGCTAGGGGGAGATATATTAATGGTATAACACGTTACATAATCGAAAGCGTACTGACTGGTAGGACTTGGACGTATTTGCTGGAATAAGTTTTTGCTTGGACGTTTAAATACTAAATATCGAATCGGCGTCCAACGCGTATCGAGTATTTAGTAGTATCGACTTACTCGTTACTCACACAAAACCCGAGACTGAGACTCCGAGACGCGAAGACGCGGACGCATTCGATCTTAGTGTGAGTGAATCTATTCCTATTCCTACGATCAGCCTTAATGTTATGTGATAAAATCAGTAACTTTTTGTTTTTTAAATAGACGTAGTATAATAATAAAAAGAAAATTATGATCATTTTTATGGTATTGGGTTTTTGGACTAACTTATTTAATTTGTTGAGTGTGAATAAATCATAGTTTAGAGTGAAGAGTTCATCGGAAGACTTAAGTTCATTAAGTTCAGCCATATAATTAATTTATGATAACAGTCAAAAAGTCTTGTTTCTTGAATCACGAAAGTTTATATAAATCGTATAGAAATAAGATCATACCGCAATTTATACTGGCATAGCACCAGCTGTTATCTCAAATTAGAACTAATTTATTTAATTATATAGTGTACTAATTATCTTATATTGTTATGTTGTATTTATTGTTTATTATTATTATGCAATATATTTATTTATTTATCATATATTTTATTTATGTTGAGCATGAATTCTCTTTGGGTCAGTTCAAAAAAATATACTATAACGCAATACCCTACTAATAACTCAATGTAACTCACAAGTTAATGTTTGCAATGTAAAAAAAAGGTTTAATATGTAAATGAAATTAACTTATATCAACAAGCAAAATTCTTAACACTGCCATTCACACAAAATTATATCGCCATTTATTACAAACTAATATAAACAAAATGCATGTTAACTTTAGAAATGTGTCTTTCCTCTGCTGCTGTAGATGTCGTTTTTTTTACGTTGATTAATATAATTCGCTGCTTTACTTTTATTAACTAAGCTTGATACTAACAATAACAACCAATATATAATTATTGTGCCAAACCAATATATGTGTTTACAGATTTAATCCAAAAGATAGTAGGGTAGGTACAGATACTGCAATCCACAGTCACTATTCAATTTTTTCTCTAGTCGGGTTTTTTTCTCGTCAATTTAAAGTTATTCATGTGCAACTCCCAACCGACAATGACTTCGGATCAAACCTCACCCAGTCACAATATCTTGGGCCAAAATTTGTATCGCTAGTCTTCGTAGATGTCACTGTCTAAAAACGTGTACTTCTAAATACTTGTGGCCACCTATTCCACGAGTATATAGGAAAAAGTATTTTAGCGTACTCGTACTTGCAAGACTCAGTACTCGTTTGGCCTAGTACGTCTCATCCACAAACTAAGTCTCATCTCTACTGACTGGACTGCGCTCGCAGCAACGTTCGTGGAACGTCCCCCGCGCGGGGCACTGACAAATGTTCAACGTGAAGATCGAGGAATGTCACAGTGCTGACGGCACAGTCCACAAAATAGCAACTGCTATTATGATTTTCATAATAAGTAAACATAATTTCACTAATCATAAATATATAATATCTCTCATTTCGGTATTACTTTTGATTATGCTTAAAAAATGTCCTTTCAGTTTGTTATAAATAAGAAAGTATTTTGTTTTATATATTTTTGATTTTCCATATACCTCAATATTTACACATAAATTTATTCGTTTTCAATAAATTAACAAACTATGTAATTTACGGGACTTAACCTCAAGGTCCTCCGTACTTCGGAAGGTATGTTGAGTCGTTACTTTTTTTACGTTAAAAAAATCGATGACTCGTCTCTGTCGGCAACAGACTCCAACTATGCCTTTATTCCTACCAATAAATCAGGACAGCTGAAAACTTCGTTAGAAACATTTTTTTGGGAACAAAATACCTCGAATCACTTCACTTGTACTACGTTTAGAAAACACCAATTCAAGACTAAGCAGCTTTCGAAGTGAGTTCGGTCACCTGAGTGAATGTACGTAAGAATGTAAAGCAGTCTAACCTAAACTTCCATTATTCACATCGCCTGTGCAAAATGGTGAGTTTTTAACTTAGTACAAAATGTTTTTACAGTATTATTATATGCATACTCTATGTTCATGTTCAATAAATATTTCCCTTCAATTTTTTTGTTTTATTTTAAATCCAATAACAAAACATATGACGATTATTTGTTTATTCAGTTAAATAATAAATACATATGATTTTAAAAAATGTAATTTAAATAAAAAATTGCATAACAGTTAATCTTACAGACTAAACATTAGCTTAGAAATAATAATTATAGGATTTTACTATGCCAGTCAAAGAAATTTAGAGTTCAGTATAATATTACAAGCAGTTTTGTTAAATGTTTTAACTTAACATGTTAGTCTTATGTCTTTTCAATACAGAATATTAGCAAATACAATAAGGCCCCCTAGATAAACATAAATAATTCTGACTTGCGTTTCTTTGAAAGTGAATAAAATAATATTTATGTTTTATAACATTGCCAACTAAATATAGAATCTGACAACAGTCCACAAATGTTAACTGCTATTAAGCTTTTATCTAATTCTTTTTACTTGTGTTTTTAGATTTTTTGAAAACTTTTTAATTGGAGTACCTAATCTGATGTGTTCTGTATGACAATGAGTATGAATTCACGATCAGGGGCAATTAGTATCTCGTGCCGTCTACTTCTCACTCTCAAAAACGTCAGCTCATTGGTAGAGTCCTGAAAAGAAAATTAATTCATTTAAATGTGTGGGATGAATCTGGTTTTTGAAGAGCAAGTAGTTTTTATGGAGTTCCAGAATTCAAACTTATCGAAATTATAATTGCGTTTCACAATCACAAAATACAATATTTCATCTAAACAAAGGACTTTGTTTTTCTGTATTTTTATATGTAAAAACCCAATCAACCCTTTTTTGATCAGTTGAAAGTAAAGATTTCATAATTTTAAGTTAAGACAAATTTATTTTACCATTTCACGAACAACATTCCTTGCTTTCTCTGTCAATTGTCCAATCAAACCAGCATATAAAACTGAAGTCGCGTTGTCCAACGAACTTTTTATTGGAATACCTGTAATTAAGAGATGTTGAATATATTGGAAAGGCTCATAAAATTACTTGGATCTCCATGGTAAAATAATATTGATCAAACCTTCATGATTCACAATCACTACACCCATAACACCTTTATGCGCTTGAATACGCTTTATAGTTTCTTCCACTTCTGTTGCCTGGAATATAAATTTAATCTTTAATGAATTCTATTTCACCAACAAATTAAAATGTATTTGTAAATGATCTTATTTACCATTTTTCAATCACAAAATTTTAAATTGGACAAAACAACTCCAGTCGATGGCGTAAGTCTGACAATCGCAGACCAATAAGAGAACTAGTTCTGAATAGTTATAGGCTTGTCGAATACATATCGATATTTTTCGGCGATATGTTTTGTAACGGTATATCGATGTCCAATATTGAAACTGTGTCAAAAACAATATTTTCTTTTGTTTTTATTTGGTCGACGCAATTTGCTGCTTTTAATTTTGTTTTTAAGTTGTCAACTCTGTCTTTAGGTTAATGTTACTTCCACGTTTTCACCTAGTTCAATCATGGACGTTAGATTGGCAAAACACTAAGTTAAAAGCAGGCAAAAGCTACTTTGAAATTCAACTTTATGGAAACGAATGGATCTTTGATCTAACTAACATATTAATACTAACATATTAAACTACATATTAAAAAACATAAATTTGCAAAGTTCGTAACTTAGATATCAATACAAATACGAAAAAATACAAATAGAATATGAGTTGTTTATGGAATTTTGGAAATTAATTTACTTTTATACATTAAAGAATACCGGAAGAGTTGTCATGGAGAAAACAAGAAAATACCGTAGCGACATCTAGTTTGATTTCGGGAACTCTTTGATTATATTATTGTCTAGATATAGTGTCAAGAGTGCTTTTACCTCAAAAAATATATGGTGCAATGTCAAAGCTGTCACTCTGAGAAAAACATGTATTTTGTCGTATTTTAAAATTAAAGTTTGCACGTTAAAAGTGTCCAGGAATTACAAACAAAGAATGGAATCAATTAATAATTACGTACCATCTGTAGCTAAACTTCAAATGTCCATTAATATGAAATAATAATTTAAAAAATTAATTACAATTTTGCCTTATGATATAACGCTTTGTTTACGGGATTACCAATTGTTGAATTAAAATTTCCCATACGAGCATAAGTGAATTTCAAATTAAGTTTAATCACGATTGCCTTAGAAATGCAAACTGATATCATAAGATCTGTCCGACATGTATAGATCTCATGTGAACTCATGCACTTTTTCCTTCGCCTCCCACAGTGGCGTAGCTAGGTAACCTAGGGCCCTAGGGCAAATAAAAAAATGGGGTCCACTGCTATCAAAATTGGTAAGGTTTTTGAAGTAAAATCATTAAATATACAAATACTTTAAAAATGCTAAGCAACTTTATCATCAGCTCTTTTTCGTGCATGGGCAGATATTAAACAGTAACAACATAAATTAAAATTGTTTTTATACTTGGTGTAGGTATTGGGCAATAAAACGAAATAGAAAAGATTCAACGGTTTATTATATATTTATTTATTCATAGATACGTTGCACCAGCTTACTGATATTTAACCTATCGCCATGCAAGCTATTTACAAAAATTTTCAATAGAAATATTTTGTCCAGAAGTACTTGCAGAAGGTTGACTAAAAAAACTTATCAATTTTGGGCAATTTCAGATTACTTTCTTCTCTTTCTTGGCGTTGTTTGCGTTTAAATGCACCACTGGGTTTCTTTTTTGTCCATAATATTAGTTAATATTAGTTTCCATAGTGAAACGTAATGATACGATACAAGACGTTGGGGAATTCCCGGCAAACATTTTATCGCCACCAGTGTTACCAAAATGACAAAAAACATCACGTAATTAATGGACGGCCCCCTACCGCATGTGACTTGTATTTTTCACGGTATTTTGAGTTATATAGTGAGTAGCCGAAATGTATAGATTTCTTTACGTAACTATGTGTACGTACTATAATCAAATAAAATTGAATTTTTGTATGGACCAGTTTAAAAAAATTATTGACATACGCTTACTTACTCTTGATACATTAACTTCTTAACCATTCTCGAAATAAAATCTTGACTCTAAGTTCACAAACGCGAATCACAAAAACGTATATCGATAAATAATAATATGCAGATATTGATATCCGACAAATTGATGAAAACATTAATAACACTGACAACCCACACAAATAATTTAGGGGAATTCCCTTTTTATAACTTAGTAATTTCTCACAATTGAGTTGCCATGATTAAACTCGAGTTGTCACCTGTCATATTTATTTTGAAAATGGGAGAAATTTTCAAAAGTTGAGTTCGATTGAGATTTTCTGGTAAAGATTCGAGGGCCCCGGGGCACTGCCCCGCCTAGCCCCTTGGTAGCTACACCACTGGCCTCCTACCTCGCCGCGCATACCTCAGGGAGTGCATAGCACTAATGGCCACACTATAGTTCGCATTCTTATTATACAGAGAATAAGGAAAACTTCTAGGAGTAAATATTACTCCTGTAGAATATCGTATCATTGCTAAGTCTCTTTTTAATAATATGAATTTTGACTAATACAAAGAGCAGTCTCAACGTAAATTTACTCCAACGCTAAACCTTGTTCATTAAAAAACACTGTTGACGATTTAAACGCGATTATAAATCACACTTAAAGTGGTTACATCACTAAGCTGTCAAAGTTACTGTCAAAAGAAGTTTATAGGGTTAGCGATTATCGAACGAAATGAAAAAACTCTGAACACTGGTATTCATGAAATAGATGCTTCTTTTTATCTTATTTATTATTGAGTATATGATTGAACTGTTTTTATTGAATGTAAATTAGGCTAAAATGTATCCAAAGTAAGATAACAATGAATGATAGCAGTGCGGAATGTTCAGAAGCGTTGGATCCTAGAGTTCAGGTGAGATAATCGATTTATTTTAAAGTATTGATACTCAGAGACAATAATTCAGAGGTCGTTGTCACCAGTGTAAAATCATGAACCAGTTCCCATGAGTTGACTCAGTATATAATTTTACGAACATGTAAAATTAGGTGTTTTGGTCTGTTGATTTTGTTTTGTTATGTTTTATGTAACTTGTATTATTCAATAGTTTTGTTGTTTATTGTTAAAAGTACACCTTTATTCACCTTTGTAAGGTTTCATATTTCTCATGTACAGGTTTCTTTTTTAGTTAATTATATTCCTAAATATGTCAAATAATTGGAGAAATTATTAAAATATATTTTACACAAACTCGAGGAAGAAAAGTTCAAATGTATGCACAATGTGCATTCTAGACAAATAGCTTTTAGTATTTACGTATTTAAATTTTATTGAGATGAAAAGAAAAATAAACTGCACATCAAGTGGCAATATTATCATATTGGGAAATAAATTTAAAAAATGATTTGGTTACAGAAAAAGTAAATATAAAAAGAGTATTTAATGCTAAATTAAATAGGTGTAATAGTTTTAAGTTTTATTAATATAGTTTTATTTATTTATTTACTCTTTATTGCATTAAATAAAAACAATACAAATAGCGGACTTAATGCCAAGGGCATTCTCTACTAGTCAACCTGAGCGAATGTTGGATTTGCATGTTAGGCGATAAAGATTAATATATCCAGTAATAAAAAAAATACAAAATAAAAATATATATAAATAAAAATATTGAATAATTACATAAATACTAATTACACATACATACAATACATACACATAAATAACATACAGAATGTGAACGATACAATTACAGTCCGAGATAGTGCTCACGCACCAATTTCCTGAATATCACCTTACTCTGAGCATTTCTAATGCGAAACGGAAGAGCATTCCAAAGGCGAATAGCTCTGAGGGTAAAGGAATTTGAAATAAATGAAGTATGATGAAAGGGGGTTTGAAGAATTAGGTTGCTACTAGAGCGAAGATTACGCTCATGACCGGAACCAAGATAACGAAACCTAGATTTCAAATATCCTGGGGTACATGGATCGAATAAAATATTATAAAGCATACACAGAATTCATAGGTCTCTGCGTTGAAAGATAGTCAGCCAACCAAGTTGCCTCCTGAAATCAGAGATATGGTCGTATTTACGAAGGCCATATATGAAACGAATAGCATTATTGAGCAGACAATGCAATTTGTTGAGAAGATATTGATTGGTGTGAGAATAGCAGACGTCAGCGTAGTCGAGGATAGGTAAAATGAGTATCTGTACCAGTGCGATTTTAGTGCTGAATGGGAGAAAAAATTTCAGTCTCTAAAGAGATCTAAGCGTGTTGATTACTTTTCGGCACACTTCACCAATCTGCACCTCCCAGCTAAGAGTACAATCGATGTGCAGGCCCAGATTTTTTACACTGGCCTGAAATGGAATAATTTCACCGTTATATCGTATGGGCGCAATGCAATCTCTATCAATAGCTGACTGCTGGCGTGAACTACCAATTACTATACTTTGGCACTTAGATGTATTAACGGTCACACCGTAACAGTTGGACCACTCCAAAATAGTAATGAGATCCTGATTAAGGCTCAAAATAGCATCGTTGATGTTGCTTTTGTCTGCTTGAGCATATATTTGAAGATCGTCTGCATAGAGATGATAAGATGAGCGAAGACGAGAAGTAAGACAGTTAATAAATAATGTGAACAGAAGTGGAGATAATATGCCGCCCTGTGGAACGCCGGCAGATAAGTCACGCCAATTAGAAGTGCTATGATTGGTCCGGACAGCCTGCCGGCGCCCCCGAAGATATGTCGAAAACCATGCCTGAGCTGTGGAAGAAAGTCCGGTTTGCGAAAGGATAGCAAGAAGGATATCATGGTTAACCGAGTTGAAGGCATTAGAGAAATCGATCAAAACCATAACAGTGAGTTGCTATTGCTCCATACCATTACGGATATCTTCCAAGATATTAAGAAGAGCTGTAGTTGTACTATGTCCAGGTCGAAACCCAAACTACTTAAATTGTTTTAAACAATTTAAGTATTTTTATAAAACAATGTATGGACTGGTTTAAATTTGCTTACTTAAAACTGTTCAAAGTTAATACAGAATAATAAAGAAATATGACATAAATCTTAAGGTTAAGAAGTAACATTTTTACTGTTTCTTATACCCATAATAAGACATTCTTTATTTTTGCTTAGTGGCAAATACTCTTAATTAAAATAATTGAGAGAAATAAAAACCATCTTTACTTCAACCTGTTCACCTAAACCCACTTATTAAATTAAAATTAAATATTTTGATGAAATTTGGTATAGAGATTATTATAAGTTTGAATTAATTATATAGGTTACTTTTTATGCCATTAAATGGTTCCCTAGAGATAAATGTACTATCATGTCATGTTATCATCAGCTAGTAATGTTATAAAATAAAAATTCTTATTTAATTCATGTTTATCTACTATCTTGTCTCATTTAATCTAATGAGTACGAGGGTCGTTTGAAAAGTCCATGCAAAGTGAGAGAGATGGCACTAGTGGCGATATCAAAGTTATGTTTAGTTAGTAGCATCTCTTGGAAGAACCCACCAAGTATCAGCCAGATCTATCTATTGTTTGGCATTCATTTTAATCGCAGAAGTAGAGTGTTTTTCTAAAAATGAATGAAAAAGAATTTTGTGTGTTAGTTAAACATTACTTTATGAAAGGCAAAACACCTCAGGTGACTTAAAGAGAAGCTTTATAAATATTATGTGGACTGCACCTTTGATTAGAACAGTTTATAAGTTTTCGTAGTGACCATATGGGCACAAGTGACGCTGAACATTCTGGACGCTCTGTTGAGGTTACTACTCCAGAAATCATTGATAAAATCCATGATATGATGATGGATGTTAGAAGAATGAAGGTGCGTGGGATTGCTAGTGTATATAATATTTTGCGTCAACATTTGGACATGACAAAGCTATCCGCAAGATGGGTGCCACGATTGCTCACGCTTGATTAAAAACGGAATCGTGTGAAGTGTTGCAAGGACGGTTTGCAGCTGTTCCAGAAGAATCCGCAGAACTTTAGGCGTCGTTTCGTCACTGTTGATAAAACATGGATAGATCACTAGTCCTGAAACCACAGAACAATCTAAAAAATGGGTTATCAAGGGGGAATCTGCGCCAAAAAAAGCGAAGACCGTTCTTTCGGCCGGAAAGATTATGGCGACTGTTTTTTGGGACTCGCAATGAATAATCCTCATCGACTATCTGGAAAAGGGTAAAACTAATACAGGTGCATATTATTCATCGTTATTGGACCGTTTGGTAACCGAGCTGCAAGAAAAACGCCCACGATTGGCCCACAAAAAAGTCCTTTTCCATCTCGACAATGCACCAGCTCACACCTCAGCAGTTGTGATCGCAAAATTAATGGAAATAGAGTTCCAACTGGTTTCAAACTCCTCCTATTCTCCAGACTTGGCTCCCTGGGACTACTATTTGTTCCCCAATTTAAAGAAATGGCTGGCGGGAAAAAGATTTTACTCAATCGAGGTGATTGCATAAACGAATGACTATTTTTCAGACTTGGACAAATCCTATTTTTCGGAAGGGATCAACAAACTAGAACAACGTTGGACGAACTGTATAAGCCTAAAAGGAGACTATGTTGAAAAATAAAAAAGGTTTACCCCAAACAATTAAGTAGATTTTATTTTTGCATGGACAAATCATTGATGAGAAATGCAAAGCGCAATTTTGAAAAATCTGAATTTGCTTTAGCTGGGAAGGATCCCAAACGTATTTGGAGTGTGGTGAGGGGTGTTGCAAATTTCAACACCAAAACAAAGCCTAACTCGGAACTATTGCAACTGAGATCTGATCCATTAGAAGCAGCAGATGAAGTAAACGCCTACTTTATTGGTGTCGGAAAGAATCTTGCAGAAAATTGCCTACTGAGCGCCCCTGCCCACTGTCAATCTGATACTACTGTCTCAAGCTCAGGTTCTCGAAACAATTCTTTTGTGCTACTCGGTACTGATAATGAAGAAGTTGAAAGAACAATCATTTCGCTCAAGTCTGATAAAGCTGTTGGATGGGACGGTATCTCGGCTGGTCTTCTAAAAAAGTATAGGCATCTTCTTGTCCCTCCACTGACGTTCATTTTAAACCTTTGTTTATCATCTGGCACTTTTCCTGGTGTGCTCAAAAGAGCTATGATCCACCCAGTCTACAAAAGTGGCGATCGGAGCCTCCCAAGTAACTACCGCCCCATTTCAATTTTACCAACTATCTCTAAAATTCTTGAAAAGATCATGAATACTAGACTTATAAAATATCTTGAGAATAATGAGTTACTATCCAAGTCACAATTTGGATTTCGTGCCAAAAAGTCAACTTCTGATGCTTTGCATGAAGTTAGTGATTACTTGGTGCATAACATGGACCGGGGTAGTAAGTGTTTAGCTGTTTTCCTGGATCTGGCCAGGGCTTTTGATACTGTCTCGATACCTCTATTACTGGCAAAGTTAGAAAAAATAGGAATACGAGGTACACAACTTTCTCTTTTTGCTGATTACCTTAGTAGCCGAACACAATATGTAAGATTGTCAAGCAAAGTAGTCAGTTCTGATTCAGATATATTGTATGGAGTTCCCCAGGGAAGTATACTGGGTCCTACACTGTTTCTTGTATTTATAAATGACCTCTGTGATCTCAAACTCCAAAATGGAAAAATAGTTACCTTCGCAGATGACACGGCGTTGCTCTTCTCGGGAGATTCTTGGGATGAGGTCTTTCTTTACTCCCAGAATGGTTTTAATTATGTATGTACATGGCTAAATAGAAATTTATTATCACTAAATTGTGTGAAAACTAAATATATGCCCTTTGCACTGCGTACTAGGGGTTTGCCTCCGGGACATCTGTTTAATATTACGGCCCACTGCTGTGGTCTTTTTGATATTACAAAATGTTCATGCCAAACTATAGACAGAACTGATTCTGTCAAATATCTTGGTGTTATGTTTGACAGTGGACTAGTGTTTTCCTCTCACGTCAAATCTCTATGTGGACGAGTAAGGAAGTTTATTTTTATATTTAAGAAATTACGCCATGTAGCTGATACGAATTTTCTCAGAGGAGTCTATTTTGCATTGTGTCAATCTATACTAATATATGGGATAGGGGTTTGGGGTGGAGCTGCCAAAACACTTCTTATTGAACTGGAAAGGGCGCAAAGAGCTGTGTTAAAAGTTATCTACTTTAAGCCCTTTCTATATCCTACAACGGATCTGTATAGATTAAGCGAAGTACTGACAATCCGTCAACTTTTTATCCATCATACTGTGATTAGACAGCATGGTATCTCGGAACTATTGTATCTTCATAAACATCCTCGTCGAAATCGACATTATCGCATTGTTCAAGCAGTGGGTTGTAAAACAGCCTTTGCAGAGAGATTCTTCGGGTTTTTGGGTCCGTTTCTATACAATAAACTCCACAATAGACTTTCCCTCCATTCTCTAAATAAATGGTCATGTCAAAAAATACTTAAAGAGTACCTCATGACATTGTCATACTCGGATACCGAAGATTTATTAAAAATAATCTGTTAATTAATATTTCTGAGAAAATTAGTAAAGTTTGAAAATAATACAATAGAAGCAGATAATTATATAGAATAAATATATCATACAGTGAGTCTTTTGTTATCTCTGACAAGATGTTGTAAGCATGTTTTAGAATTTTAGTATGTTGTGTAGTAATATAATAATAACGTCTGTTAAATTAACATTAATGTTTAACATATGGATAGTGAAAATAAACCTTATAAATAAACAATGGGGGGCCTGGTGACCTGTAATACGGGGTTGAACCTAAACAGGCACCAGTCTCCCACAAATAACGTGTCAATAATTAATTAATAAATGTACATCCTTTTGTAAAGTTGTTTGTGGTGAGAAATAAAGTTATTATTATTATTATTACTTTTCAAACGATACATTGGGAACAAGGTAAAAAGATCTTGATTTAAGGTTAACTGTACTTTATAATAAGTTTACTTACCTCTTATTTTGTTATTGTAGTTTGTTCCATTAGAAGTACAATTTGAGAACATTAAAAGTTAATTTGTGCTAACAGAATCACCAGCAATACCTTAACATAAATTACATTGTCCACAGATTGAGTTGGAACGTTTAAACACTGCAACAGACGAAATAAACAGACTAGAGGTAGAATTAGACGAGGCTCGGTTAGCATTCCGGAGACTGCTAGCAGAGGGGCATCTCCGCATTCAGCAATTAACTAAAAAGCTTGGCACTAGTGTTCACAAAGCAAGGCCATATTATGAAGCAAGATTTAGAGCCAATATTGTAAGTTCATTATAATTGACAAAATATACCACTAAATTTCTCTTAGACATAACATTGTCACTAGCAATAGCATGCATGAAACAGCGCAACCTTAGCGCAAAATATCACTATGAACTTTCGACTTAATTTTCGACAGCATAAAGTTAAAATTTATTGAACTGTTTTATATAACCCTTCTTCTTCTTTTTTAATTCATTTTATATAACCCGACATGTTGTTAACTGTATTGACGTGTGACCTCCATAGATAGAACATAATGTTGTAGGTTTTAAGTCATAGGGGCATTAAGCAATACTCTTACTTTTCAAGAGATATGATATTAATACATCTTATGTTTACAAAGTGTTTCACTTAGGTATACCTTTTTAGGTAATTCGCCGATTATTAAAAAAAATGTTTCGTTAATTAATGAAATTATAAAAGATTGGCATTGTAAAAAAAACTCATTTGCAGCTGGCTTGAAGCAAGCAATTTGTTTTGCAGGGGCGGATACTACTAGCTTCGATCCTTTTGTCCAGTTTTTTTGTTATTGCTTGTACATGTTCCATAATGTTTTAGAACAGTGCTTTTATTAAGGACCATTTGACATATTTATATCTTGACATGGACCACTTCGCTTATGATCATTATTTGTACCTAAATGCATACAAATGGATCTAGGCAGGACAAGTGGACGCACTTGCGCCAGTGCTAGCGGAGCGTCAAAATCATCATTATATCATCATCATCATCAGCCCTTTTACGTCCCCACTGCAGGGGTTCAGGCCTTCCTTATGGATGGTTAAGGAGAATGGGCCGTGACCCTCCACGCAAGCCAAATGCGGATTGGAGGATATTAACGACTGCAAATGCAGCCGGGACCAACGGCTTAACGTGCCTTCCGAAGCACGGAGTAGCTCGAGATAATAATTTTTTGGTCACCCATCCCGTAACGGACCCTTGCGAAAGTTGCTTAACGACAACAATCGCGGGCCGCGGCGCTTATCCACTACGCCACCGAGCTACCATCATTATATAATATCAATTGATGTTTAAAAAAAGAACGTAGGTACTTTATAAATCTTTTTATACACATTATAACATAAATTATGATATATATATATGAGACAGACATGTTTCAAAATAATCATGGTACGTAAGGGGGGATGGTGGAGTAGTGGCAGGCCGCCTAAAGATGTTTTACTTTGATAAAAAAATCGTAGATCCGGGCTTGCCTAAATGTAGATAAATATATATATAGTTATTAGTGTAGTGTGTCTATAATAAAATCCTCTCTCCACAGACCACTACTTGATATACATATGTCTAAGACCACTAGGGTGTTTTAAGTGTATATGTACCTTATATTTCCTCAATATCTAAGACATAAAAGCATACGAGGGTCAAACTGAAAGTTCTTAGAACTGGCCACTTATAAACAATATAATAAAAAAATAATTCTAAAATTTGAAAATATAACTCTTTGCCAATATTACTGAGTATATATTTCATTCATTTGTCATTTGTTTTACGATTTGGCGGCAAATTGAAAATTGTCTGTGTCACGTCATCATGAATTTAACACGAGAAAATTTTCGTGCAATGATTTTTTATGACTTTCGATGTCATTTAAGTCAACAAGAAAGTTATGATAGACTACGATTGGCCTTTCACGATGAAGCCCCATCTCGTGCGACTGTTTACAACTGATTTAATGAGTTTAAACGTGGTCGCACTAATCTCACTGATGATTTACGTGAGGGACGGCCTTCTACGGCGACGACTGAAGATAACATCTGTGTTGTGCGGCGTATGATAGAGACTGACAAAAGAGTGACCTATCAACAGATTCGGACAAGCTTAGGCATCGGTATGAGTCAAGTGCACAAAATCCTCCACGAACATTTAGCGGTCAGGAAGCTTTGCGCCCGGTGGATACCTCATAATTTGACTGAGGCTCAAAAACTCCATCGTGTGGATTGGTGTCGTAAAATGATTGAAAGATTTAACGGAGGTGACTCAAATGCTGTGTTCGACATACTAACAGGTGACGAAAGCTGGATTTACTGTTATGATCCTAAAACCAAAAGACAATCTGCTCAGTGGGTGTTTCCTTTCGAGGAGTTGCCAACTAAAGTGAAGAGAGATCGAAGTGTGGGAAAAAAAATGGTGGCCTCGTTCTTTGGAAGGATAGGTCATTTTGCAACAATTGTGTTAGAGGATCAAAAAACAGTTTCTGCAGAATGGTACACTACCAATTGTTTGCCACTTGTCTTGGAAAAAGTTCGAGAGAAACGACCTCGCAGTAGGATCCTCCTTCACCACGACAACGCCTCGTCGCACACCGCCAAGCGAACGATCGACTATTTGGCGACATCAAACGTTGAATTACTGGGTCACCCGCCGTATAGCCCCGACCTCGCGCCTTGTGATTTTTATTTATTTCCAAAAATTAAAGAAAAACTTAAAGGAAAGCGGTTTATGAATGCTGAAGAAGCGGTGGCTGCGTATCGCGATGCCATTGAAGAGACCCCTAAGGACGAGTGGGCAAAGTGCTTTTCCCAGTGGTTCCATCGCATGCAGCGGTGTATTGACGTGAATGGACAATATTTTGAAAAGATATAATAAAACTAATAACTGGCTAATGTAATCAGTTTTTGATTTTCTAAGAACTTTCAGTTTGACCCTCGTACATATAACATTTTATATTAGTCATATAGTATTGAGAGCGGAAATCTAACAATATGAGTCGCGTATGAAGTAACACTGAAAAATGGTTAAATGCTTACATTGCGTGATTTACTATACGACGCATAAAATTTGTAATATCATATCGTCAGACATCACAAGAGCTGCAAGTGGCTACGCTCGCGTATGACAAGGCGAACAGTGCTCACGCCGCCGCCAGGGAGATGGTGTACCTGGCGGAACAGGGACTGGCACGACTGGCGGAAGGTTCCGAGGGTGGAGTCACCCTTGACCCCGCTTGGCAGGAGATGCTCAACCATGCCACTCATAGGGTTAATCAGGTATATTAGGCGCCATTATTTAACGATAAAGATGTTTTTTGCTAGTTTTTGCCCACCGCCACTTATGTAACAGAAATCTACAGTATTCAATAATAGAATTAAAGAAGAATGAGATTACATTGCAGATTTATGATTACATGAAACTAACAAGCAAATTCATAAGTTTAAATGGCAACAAATATCGCACCGGTCACCAAATGCCCAGTGTAATGTGGGCACTGTAAGGACTAACAACTCCAGAGATTGCTCCATGGAGAGGCGAAACATGTGTGAAGTGGTGATTTTTTGTGAGATTTATTACCATTTGTAGATGTGAATTTGAGTGGTCTACAGCTAGTGACGTCACGCGTTCGTTGTCAGGCCCGATTCTTGGCGGAGCTCATTCTTTGGGCGGTCTATACCAGTGTTTCCCAAACTTTGCACTGCTATGACCCGATAATTTTCACACTGCCGTTCCACTTAATATTTTTAAACCTTAGTTCGTTCGATATTTTTTTTGGGAAATAAAATTGTCGCCCACGTTACTTCCTGAATACTAAATTTCAAGAAAATCATTTCAGCCCTTTCCGAAATTCAGATCACATTATATATTTAAATGAAAGACCCGGTACCGGGCCATCAAAATTTCACAAATGGGAAACACTGGATTTAGATGTGAATTTGTGTGTGGACGGTGCACAGCATGTCTTGCAGATATTGACTGGGTGTAGAATTTATTGGATATCATTGTTTCAGAGTTGTAACGCCTGATTTTATTAAATATGTTCATAATAAAACCTCATAGTTTTTTTAACTAAATAATAAAATGCGGCGCCTTCAATCTCATTAATATACACCTGACTTCTAATTAAACATAATTTACAAAAAATTGAGTTTACACCTTCAGTTCATATGTTTGCGATCAATTTTTAAACGAACAATTCCGTAATTGGTTCGGGTACGTAGGCGGAAGCAGAACGCGCTAACGCGACGGTGACGCAACGCACTAAGGCGGCCGCACACCGCGCCGCCACCGCTCTAGTACAACAACTGCAGAACGGTCTCAAGCGGCACATCGCCAAATCCAGGTCGGTACATTTCCATTACATAGCGCTATCTATCATTACTTTTTATCATCATCAACCTTTTTACATCCCCACTGCAAGAGCTTAGGTCTTTCTTATGGATGGTTATGGAGGATGGGCTATGCTGTGACCCTTTACTCATGCGCAATGCGAATTAGAGGGTATTAACGAATGCAAATTCAGCCAGCACTGCCTTCTGAAGCACGGAACAACTCGAAATAGTAATTTTTTGGTCACCCATCCCGTGACCGATTCTTGCGAAAATTGCTTAGTAACAATGATCACGAGCCACGGCGCTTATCCACTACGTCACCGCGCTACTCTTACCTATTAAATTATCTATGAAAAACGCAAAAAATAATCTTTGTAGTATGGGAATTCCTTTAATTAGTTAGTTCATTTTGTTTTTTAGTGTTTGTTGTAGCGGCAACAGAAAAATATATGTGAACATTTCAACTATCTAACCATCACTTCGTGAAATGCTACCTGGTGACAGAAGGTCGGACATACAGTGAAATCTTAGTCATATGGTCCCGTTTTACTCTTTGAGCACAGACTCCTTAAAATGATATAGAATTTAAAAAACTATGCTGCAAAATAATGTTGCCAATCACCGTTCTAATAAAAAAATCTCTTCAATCACTAAAGGTTCTTCTTTTTAATTAATGGCGTTGTCCTTGTGGATTTCGCCAGAATCCAGTGTTTCGGAGAAGTAATTACTTTAGGAAATGTCATAACTTAGGTCAATATTTTTAACCAATAGACGACAATTCGTAATATATCCTTACAATTAACAGTTCTTACTTCATTGGAATTCTTTTTTATTTAGTAAAAATACCTAAGTATTAAAATTATGACATAAACTCAAGTAATAACTTATCTCGACTATTGATAGCGAATGTAAGATTCCACTTAGATATTAGCCTAAGAATGACATTACTTTTGTAAATTTCGTCTAGTATCTGTGTTATTATTCGACTCACATCGTCTTATACTATAATATTCTACTTGAAATCTTTTTAATAGATTTCAAGTGAAATATTACATTTTATGTCTTATAGTTTACTGCGTATTAGGTTCAGTGCACAAGTGATTTCGTACAGCTAGTTGCACATTCATCCATTAAAATTGTCATTAGTTTAAAGCGACCGATACCGATACAAACTATACATTCAATGAAACTTAAAGGCGCCATTTACCCGGACGTTTGTGCAACTGACTGTTAGTCGCCTTGCGTCAGATCTCAAATTTATAATACTAGCTTTCCGCCAACGGCTTCGCCCACGTGGTCCATATATACTTCACCCCCAATTTCAACCCTTAGGGGTGAATTTCTATAAATTATTTTTAGTGCTCACTTACGTACACTTCCATTTATACGCCTGACGGATTTCCCATCAGATTGCACTGAACATTCAACCTAATTCGAAATGTAGTACGAACTACGTTAGCTTGTAGTGAACGCTTAATATATGACCAATGTACATTTAAAGTTAGATCGAAGGCCCAACACTCTGCCAACTATTATAATCTAATAGTACAGTTAACAGCACATCAAATTATACAAAATTAACTTTCTCCACTTGATTTTAAACCTTAATGCATGATGGTAGTGTTCAAAGTCAACTGCTGCCACTATTTATCACAATCGCTTTGGAACCAAACTACCGACACACTGAGTTTTATAATCAACTAGCGGACCCGACAGACTTCGTCCTGTCAAAAAGATTTGTAATGTGGCAGTTATTTGTTCCTACTTATTTTATAGTCGGGGCAAAAAATAGGAGGCATATCAAATATAAATTATTGTGTCACATGCAATATTATTATTATAATAAATAGTGATCATAGGTAACTAAACACTCTGCACAAAACACGATATACGAATTTGTTTCGTGTATTAGACAGTATCAGTTGACAAAAGCAAACTCAGTAGAATAAGTAACAGAAAATCCAAGAAAATAATACTTCCACACCGGCAAATTGACATCGACAGTTTATTTTTCTTAGTTTTTTTTAAACTAACTAAACATCGACAGTTTGTTGTTGTTTCAATTTTCAACTTTTTTTAAATTTGATATGACTTGGAATCAAATCCTTCAGGCCGTACCAATTTTTTATGTGTGTAAAATAATAAATAATAAAACACTTTTGGTAACGCGGTTTGTGTTTGACTGATGTCATGACGTGAAAACTGATGCATTTTATGTCGCGTGCTGAAAGTAAAACAAAAGAAATAATATCGCAAAGCCGACCAAATTGAAAATCAGTACTAATGATTTACTTTAATTGAGTTTCGGAACGCGGCATTAAATCCTCCAACGATGTATTCTGTGCTCCAACGCACACACGCACACTGTATTGATATGATTGAATTTCAACTTTGTATAGCGGTAATAAAGTGCAAATTGACTCTTTGACGTTAGGAACACACCTACATTGCTTAGACAACAGTGAGTGCTTGTAATTTAATATGAACTTTATACCATAGCAATAAAGCTCAAATTGACTACGTTTTAGTTACAAATCATTTGTATGGGAAAAAGAAAAGGGCTATTTTTAGGGTTTTTCCAGCAATAATTCTAATTTTTCTCGCCGTAAAAACCATCCTTGAACTTCAACGAACATTTTAAAAAAAGATTTGGCCAAATTGGTCGAGGCGTTGTTGAGTTATGCGCTTACCAACACATTTTGCGATTCATTTTGATATATATAGATTACGAGGGCACATACCTATAGAAATTTCTCAGTTTTAGATATGATATATTTATTGTTGAGTGTACAAGACTTTCGGTCAGTTGCACAAACATCCATTAAGGTGTAATCTTACTCTTTTAAACTCTAATGAATGTCAAATTTGTATGGGTAATGACGCTTTAAGTAAATGACAATTTTAATGGACGTTTGCGCTACAGGCTGATTAGCATCAAAAGTATTTTTTTTAAATACCTTTAATACTAATCAGCACACGTTGCCAGTTGCCAGTTGCAACGTCACTTTAATAATATTCCATTATAAGCATAAAACATATTATTATAAATATATAGTAATATTCATTTTAAAAATAACATAAAATTAGTCTAGTGAAATGCGAGCGTGACTTTCCAGTTTAAATAATAGAGTGCGTTGGCCCTAAGCGTAGTTTATTATTACTAATGAAATTGAAACAAATTATGGTCTGAAACATAGAACACAGAAAAATGTTAGCATGCCCATTTTAATTGTTATGTTTTACCTAGTGGTTGCACGTGACGACATGTTTACCGGCATAAAAAGAGAATTATTTACAGAATTATACATATATACAACGGCCAAATAACTCCTTTCTGTATTCTGTAATCTTAAGCAATTTCAATAGTTCCTTATAGTAGATATTTTTTATTAGTATGTAGTGCTTTTTAAGTTAAGCTTATAGCTAATTATTTTAGATAATATGAATAGTATTTTCTTCATAACCCTGTTGTAGATAGTATAAGTCCCGTAAATTGCTAATGCGCTGAAACCTTGCCTAAACAAAATCCGCGTGACGTCATATGAAAATAGAAAGTATAGATAGCACAAAATGCAAGAGTACAATATTTTTTAAGTATTGAAATATTTATAAACAATCCCTCAAATATTGTTGTAATAATTTAATTAATTTTAGTTGGTCAATTCATTGCTAACTTACCAAAAGTAAAAGTGAATAATGAGAGACATAAACTCTCAAATTGCAAATGTACTCAAATTTTAACTCAATTACGTCATCAAAATGGCGGCCAGTCGCATAAGCAATTTGCAGGGATTATAACAACACTTTGAACACTACTTCTCTTTTTAATATTTTCTTCTTTTTTTTTTGTTTTATAACAAATGCAAAGGTTATATTTTAATTCATACGAACATCAAATAACATACAATAAACAAGGCATCATTATTATACAGCTACGAGTAAACAAACATATGACAAAAATTGTAGTGCTAATCAAACAATACGACATGATGATACCAACATATATAAGACTATTTATTTTGTTCATTGTCGTTATTGTATTGTAATAATTATACTATACCAAAGAGTATTAATGCTACCAATTTGATTTTTTAAATTAAATAACAAAACGTTTGCATTTGCCGTACAGCCAAGTTCGCACTTACAGGTTTTTCCGCTTGACTAGTTGCACAGAGTATGCATCTTCAGCAGGCGTCTTTCACTGCTCCGCTGGCAACATCTGTCTGAAGTTTGGTACATATTTTTGATAATAACTACCTTTGCATGTTACTTAATCCATGTTTGGCATGAACTTTTTGTGTATTTTTTCATTGCCTTTTATACTAACATATGAAAACATTTCTTATAAAAATGTGTATATAATTTAAAATCTTATTGCGAAGGGAATAAGGAATGTAGTGCTATAATTGTGCTATAAAATGAATGTTACTAATTACAATGTAATGTGTATTTTAAAATTTCTTGTTTGGGTGTCAAAGATACTTTTAAATGTGTATTGTTATAAAATGAACTAAAAACTATTTCTTTAAAGGACGTCTTAATTTGAATAAAATTGATGCTTATCGTTTATGTAAACAATTTAATCACGGAATAAGAATAATCAATTGTCCTTGAATAATGTGTCATCAACAACAAACTATTTTAATGTTTAAATATATATTTATGTGTTCTAAAATTTTAATAATGAAGGCTCATTTATTTTTCTGGAATAATACATATGTATTGTGTTTTATATGCAGGGTTTTTGTATAATGATATTACTATAAAAAAGTAATATCAATATATAAAAACCCTGAAAAATCGTTGTGTTCGTCGTTTTGTATTAAGTTATATTTAATCTCGTAAATCTAACTTCCTTTGTTTATGATTTCTTAGTCCTGCGAAATTGTAAATCACTGTATTTGTCCGTAAAACGAGACATCCTATAGGAATAATTCAAAATTTATTTGAGATGATCCTTCGAACTGAATACTGGGTTTTAGGCCGTATTTCGAAGAGAAGGCGCGCATAAACGCAGCACTCGAGTGTCAGAAGGCGCGTATCCAATCACTGGAGGGTCAGGTGGCTGAAGCGAAACAACAATACTCCTCAGCTCTTAGGAACCTGGAGCGAATATCAGATGAAATCCACCGTCACAGATCGAGAAGACAGTCCACTAGGAATGGTAAGATTGGTGTTATCTATTTAATTTTTGAAGTATGTTTATTAAAGTTTTAAACTCTCAAGATACGTTGCACAAACGTCTATTAAAATTAACAATAGTTTAAAGCAGGTATGGGCAACCTTGGACATGTTGTGGGCCACATCTATGAAGTATATCTATGAAGTATGTTGCTTTGTAAGAGTTAACAACACACTCTTTAAACGAAACTGTGACGTGAACAATGAGTACAGGGGACGATATCCTGAAACGACTAATGTTACCCAGTATGTTTACAACAATGCAAAGCAACAGCTGCTATCCGATGGCTGTTAGAATTTATAATGGGTTGCCGAATTATATCAAAGATGCTTCACTCAATCTATTTAAAAAGAGCCTGTTAAAACTCTTGATGCATAAATGTTACTACTCGGTCCATAAATATTTGGCTGACAAAACACTATGATAATGAATGTTCCATGACATTGTTTTTTTTCTGTATTTCTAATTGAATTGAATTGAATTTGTTATAATGGTGGTGACATAGTTTTTATTTTCTGACATTTTTTAATGGTTATAATAATGATTTAGTCCTAAATAATAATTATTTTAATTGCCTGTATTTTGAATGTAATAATTAAATTAAAATTAATTAATATGGTATTTGCATGCTAGTGTAATAGCTAAGTGAGCTGAACTGTAATTTTCTTTCCATCTTTTATAATACCTCATTTAATAGCAAATAAACGATTACTATTACTATTACTATTACTATTACACACTTTCGTACGCGCAAATACGTTCGCGGGCTGCAATTAAAAGTAGAACATTTTAAAGTAGTGTTGTAGTGCTCATAATTTTTTACGGTAGATATCAGACGTGAAATAATACGACAACGTTATTATAAATTAGGTTTTAAAATGCATTTTGATGTTACCCAACGTGGGTTTAAAGCGACATCATCGATACAAAATTTCAAATTTAGAACATTAGTTAAAGTCTAATCTCGTCAAAAACATTAATGAATGTTTGTGCAACTGAGCGTTAGACCATTAAACTCAATCCTAAGTATCGGCCTTTGATGAAAGTTGTTAAGATGATTTTTTTCAACAGAAAATTGCTAATATATTGGAATGGCAAAAATTTTGCTGTAGCTGTACTGAACAAAATGAATTGAACAATACCTCTACTATCATCTGTTTCAATAGACTATTTCACTCATATAAAATTTGGTTTATTGTAAAAGTACATGTTTACTAAAGCAGTGATGTCACGCGTTGAACAGGGGGCTGACATTTTCTGGCGAAAATTTATAATCATATTTTTTTTTTCATCTATATTATTTAAATAGTCTCTTTACATGTAAAAGGTACCAACGTGAAATTGATGGAATTTTGTAAACGTAAGCATATCATAAAATAAAAAAGAAGAAGCAGAAATAACAGTGTTAAGACGTTTCTCGGTTTTTTAAATTAAACTTTTTACTACGACGGAGTTGATTTAAAACAGTTTTCAAATACTTTTTTTTGTACTGCCCTATTTTTCTGTAAGTCTTTCATTCTGCAAACCCTGTATAATACTAATTTCTTTTTACTCACCATAGATATAGATAGATCTACGATAACAGACACCGCCAGCGACACAAATACTACGACCAGCGACAAACTAGAGGAGTTATGCGACCACAGTGCAGACGCTAGTGTGCGCGAATGGCTGCGAAGGACCGCGGACGCGAGGCCCAGATGTCTGCCTGACTCGGACACCTGGACAGAGATAGATCTGGATTATTCCAGCCCGGAAGAGGTATGAATGTTATTGCAGGTCTCATTAAAAGTGTTTTTGAACAGCTTTATTTTGTCTTGTTCCTTTTTAATTTGTTCATTAAAATTTAGTAGAATTATATAAATACTCAATAAATTTTCGTTTATAAACAGTATTAAATCCTTAAATACATAACATTCATACGACGAACGTTAAAAAAAATATTTTATATATTTTTCTGAATTTGCTACTAATGATGTTTATTAAAGTAACAAATGCCGTTCCAATACATTAAAGAATTATTGATTTTTGCTATCATATTTATTACCAGTCTACGCTAAAAAGGGTTTATATAAAATATCAATACTTACCTAAGCAATTCCAACAGAAATGACTACAGTAATGTAGTACGATGATTTTGATTACTTACGGATTTGTATCCGAAGTATAATGGTTGTCTGTATATCTATGAAACCTGGGTTAAGAATTGGTGTAAACAGCGGGGTCGTCCATTTTGTATCAGGTGAGCTTTGAGAAGTGTTCGCTCCGTCCCCGTTCGAGCCCCGACAAGTCACCCAGCAGCCCCCCTTCTAAGGTGTCAGCTGCGTCTCCCAGGCGTATCATACGCGGCGACAGAGGCGCTGCGTTACGTGCTGAACTAGAGAAAGGCAGGAGACAGAGTCTTGACGCGATACTGCATGATACTGGGGAAAAAGTCAAAGAGATGTTCCAAGGTAATTCCTTATTATACCTATTTAATAAGCTTTTTTTAAGAGTTTTACTAACTTCAGATTAAATAAATACCATATGATAAATGTACTGCTTAAATTAAGACCTGACTCAAAAAATTGTCATTGTCTAAATAGCATTTTTATATTGCTTTATTCCTATTTACGTTGTCATTCTGCTAACTGTACTAGTAATAAGTACAGGTTTAGTATTATACCTGCGGTAAAATTTCGTGTCTCCTTTAGAAAAAATATGTACATATAAAATACAAGACCCTAAGAAACTTCCCTGACGAACACTCATTACTTCTCTATTACTAACTGATGTGCCTTTTTTATAATTATCTGTGGTTTGATTGAAATAACTAGTAAAAATGTCCAGATTGAGTTGACTTCATACTTTTGTGACTTCCACTTCACATGATAAGGTGGGTAAAAGAACAGACACAGTGTCAAAAGCTTTAGAAAGATCAAAAAGGTTCGTAGTACAGTGCAGAAGTTCAGAGATATGATTTTTATACAAAACATTCTAAAATATCTTGCATTTACCGCCTTTTGAATTTCGACTGATCGATAGAAATCGGCCCGCTTTCTACCATAGTAGTATAGGCCTCCTTCAATCTTCTCTGATCTGTTTTGGGTAACTTTGATCTAGTTTCAAAATATGGAGTTTCATGGGAAATTTTGAAAATGGTTTTTTTATAGATATATTCATTTCAAACATTCATTCATGTATATCTATAAAATAAATAAATATATAAAAGTCGTCTACACCCCTATTTATCGGTGTGTATAGGATTATCCCTGTTCGGGGAGAGGCGCGGCTCCGCATCTGCGCCGCGGTCGCCGCGCCCCCCCGCCTCCCCCCGCGCGCGCCGCCCCCACACCGCCGACACCTCCTCCACCTCCGACGAGCGACACTCAGACACTGACAGCCTCGCCAGGTACCGTACTCGCCTTTTTTTTTGTTTAATGTTGAAGGAGTTTTGTAGTAGGGGGAATAGTTTGTGTCCCTGCCGCTTAACAGGCAACAGGGTTGTGTGGGACTCTATTAGTCTTGAGCGTTCTCCATTAGTTATGCGGCTTCTAAGTTCGCTCTTTTAGATCGTTTAGATACCTAGTTCTTTGCAGTAGGAGTAATTTTAAAACGAGCGAACGATCTGCCTTATATTGAATTATTTTAAGGCAGTTCGTTCCTTTGTTTTGATACTGCCTTCTGTTATGACAAGTTTATTGAACAATGTATACTTACATTAAATTTTTGAAACATAAATAAACATATTAACTAGTAAGTTATTGTTTAGGCAGTGAATATAATACTTAATATTTTTCGCCTTTATATTTTTAACGAGACGACATTAGTTCGGTCGACTTCACCTTTACTCATTCTTTCACGAACTACCGAACTACTGAACGGGAAATCTAGAAACTAGTTCGTCTATTAGAACCAGTTCGTTCGCTAACTACACAAGAATACTCTCCATCCACACGGACCAGCCCGAAGGCTAGTCAAAACTCGGATGTCATACCCACTGAACCACCTCCGATGCATCCTCACTTTTGGATAAACGACGTGGGATCCAGCAGGGATAGCTCCACTAGAGCCTATTCGTTGCAAACAAACAAACAAATAAATCTTCCTCTTTATAATATTAGTATAGTATAGTTTAATTCTTGGTAAAGTCGTATCAGTAAAAATAATTAATATAATACATGTAAAAAATATATTTAGCGAACTTATTTTCTTTGCTGTCAGTACTAAAATGACAGCTAAGCCGTGAAGTTGGTAGCAACCCGATCCTATTCTTATTTAGCTCGCAGAATATTAAATAATACTTACGTATTTTACAGTATGGAAATGCTCACAGATGAGCAGATAGCTTCTCTCATGTTGGACGCACAACTAGAAGCTGTGTGTGAGAGACTTGCCGGCGTGGCTTTAAGACAGCCCACTACACCGCAGTCGCCTGAAGCGCGATATTGAACCTTACCGCGGATTAAATAAGGTATCAAATCGCTTACACTCTAATATCGAGATATCAACTTTTCCCATCTAACTGGGCGTTACAGAGATCCAATGATATTGGATGGTATTACGTGTGTCATAAGTTATAGAGCAGCCATTGGTGATGATTTAATTTGAAGATCTTACTGTAGAATTATATAGGTTGTTTTAAAAGATGCAATAATAGTATGTTACGTGACGGCATTAGATATGTAAGTAGCATAATAAAATAATAGAACGAAGAAAACAATTAAATAAAACAATTTATTATTTAGGTGTTAAGTAGTTTCCAAATTAAAAATAAATATATACATATTAAAATCAATAATGTGGTCACATATTATGAGTGAGATTTCTTTTATTATTCATTAAGTTAATATTAATATTCAGATATAATTTTTAAACCTTATTCTGTTGGTGATAAAGTTCAAAATTAATTATTATATTTGATAGATTTCGCATCCACAATGCTATATTGATAGTATTATGTTATAAATAAATAAAGTGGTTAGAGCAGTCGCCTGTATTGGAGAAACTTTATGCATTTAAGTACTTTGCTATAAGATTTTCCAAATACTATGACATGGTTTTTGTAACTCTCATTATTCCTGTTAGAGCTGGTGAGTTTCTTGCTCGTTCTTCTTATCAGCCAAAAGACGTCCTGAACGAGAGGTAGGGAAAAAAAAATGTTGGACGATTCAAAAGTACTTTTAAGAAGTCTATTTGAATAAAGATTATTTTGACTTTGACTATTATATGAAATATTATTCAAAGCTCGGTTTAGATTGCATTGCTTGCACATGTGGTACACAAACATTTCTAACATTTTGTCTTTTGGAAATGAACGATTCTCTTCCTTCTTACATCCAAATATGCAGCTATGGTGTATTATTGGATAAAATGACATTATTACAATAAGGTTCAAAATATATTAAATTCCTATTATAGTCACTATTATTTCACTCTGAATTATAAAAAACTGTGTACTACTTGTGCTAGTGTTATAATCTGGCGACTGAAAATTACAGTAATGGTTATGTCCTATTAATTGTAGTGGTATTTTGTAGTAACTTGATATGTTACTATGAGTACAATCGTCGATTTTTATTCAACAAGTACAGTCAACAGCACATTGTGTTGTCACAACTGTCAAATATCTCAAATTCGTTAAAATATATGTTGTTATGAAGATTTGAAAAGGATAGTTACAGTGCTGGGTGTGTATTTTTTTTTAATAGTACAATATTTAGTATACGTATAAATTAATATATATTTTATTTATTGTTAGTTCCTGTTTAAAAACATTCCATGGAGATATTGCACGGGTCGCACGAAACAACACGAAAAATAAACAATATTTCAAATGATGTAATTACATCAATATATTATAAGGAAGAATCTTTTTGACTCATACATTTAAATTATATTTCATTAAATATCACAATGTTAACATATCACAAATTAGATTTTAAGTTTAATGCAATTAGAGCAAATTCGTCTTTAGCTTGAGCCTCGTTCAAATTAAAAGTGCGATCACATTCATGTTCATATTATATATATACATATACGGGGTTAATACTTAAACACCGACATCCTTGCAAGACTAGATAGCCAACATAAAAAACAACGATGAATTAAAATAAAGGTATGATGAGAAAAAATCAGCGTTCCTAACGTAGAATCTGTGGGAAATCCTGATTTTGTCTCATCATATCTTTTTATTGCGCTTTTCGATTATTTATATCACTTTAATAAACTCCGACATAGATTTAACAGTTAGTTTCATTCAAAGGAAATGTCACAGTTTCCTTGTTCCGGGTCTTAAAAATAACAAAAAAGGCAGCTTATTATTTTAAATTTGAATATGAGCCGATATTACACTTACACACGATCTGATATTGTTTTCAGTTGTTTACTACGAATAGATAAAATAATATTTACCATTTTATCGTTTCCCTTTATTATTATTTTCACATAATAGAAAAACTGCATATGTTCAGAAAAACTGATACGTCCTTTTTCGGTCGATTTAACAAGAAATGGCTTAGAGAATAGACATTAAAGTTAAAGAGTGAAGGCTCGCTACGTCACAGCTATGTAGAAAGTGTACAAGGGAGTGACATTATGCGCCAATTTATCTCAATGTATCACCTTAAATTATCGATTACACAAAAATACATATTTACCAACGGACTAGAAATAAATAAAATAGTCATAACTCTCACTTCTTATTATGTACAGTTCTAACAGTACAATAAAAACTTCATAGAAATTATTTTTATTTAATGATAGACAAAAGTTGTTATTTATCATGTTTTTCTAATCTTACCAGGTTACTGGTATTTTACAGAGAACCCTGTATAATGCCGCCGCTTTGTTCAATCGCATTACAAGTATTGTCCATTTGACGTTCACGTACAATAGTTCTCATGATGTGATTTTAAGCTAGAGCCACACCAAGTTGACATGAACCACTTGTTGATTATGAATTACCGTTTAAATAGCGCGTTCGTGATTGGACAGTATCGAAATTTTCCGGAAATAGATACTAAAAAGTATTCGTATTATTTGTAATCGACGAGAGACGCCCATCTCTAGTCCAAAAATATATTGTCTGTAAGTTAAGTAATTGTATAAATTCATCTACAAACAACGCCTGAAAAATATAACTTATACATAAAGTAATTA